ATATATATATATATATATATATATATATATATATATATAATAGAATTGCCTTTCAATCGCAAAACGAATACAATTCCCTACAGACACATTCCTGCTAGTTGTAAGACGTTTGTTTAATATCCCTACAATTAAGTAGTGTCTTTGGAGTGTTTATATCAAACGTAATCACACCTATGTCACGAAAAATCAAAACCCTTTAACTCAGTAACAAATTTCTGGAAGATAATTCCAGACAAAGACTACGTAACTTTTATGTCGCAAAGGTTTTTTTTGTAAAACGAGTTACTTTTTTAAAAGCAGTAAAAATTACTCTACAAAAATTTTAACTGGTACTTGCCCGCCTTCTATCATCTAGCTTTTTGAAATGCTTAGCTAGCAGTCGGAGATTTCGGATGAATTTGATGAAATAAAGTTCCTCAGGTGAAAAGTTTTCGAGGCGCAACGAATTCCAGGATGGTGACTGGAACGAAGTTGGTCCTCCAGGCTCGGTGCCCTAAGACATCCAAGCATTTATAAACGTCAATGTAGGGAATTATTTATACACTTGATTATTTTAGAAAATAATGTGCGATTTTGCGTTAACTATCACCACGAAAATTAAGGTCATAGGGTAGTTTATTCAAAAATAAGTACTCAGTGGCATCCTTGGGTATTTTTCCTGCATTATTGAAAAGGACAATATACTTTAGGTTAAGATAAATTTCTTAAAACAATTTGGGTTTGGATGAGCCGTCTAATCCTTGGCACATTAGATCAGACTTAGAAAGGACGATGTATCTGTGAGATTCTGTTCGCGTTCTTAGTCTTGCGTTTTATTCTCCGTAACTAAGGTCTCCTACCTATCACAGTCCCTTTAAGAGCTGACCAGTTTTCCGAAGGTTAGTGGTCTGGCGTTCCGGGGTTAGCAACAAAGGGGTGCCACGGCAACTTGAATTCGTGACTTTGAAGTGGCGACACCTTTTTGCACATCTGTTTTGCGATTAGCTATTTCGTCCGTAATCCAGGTTACAAAGTAGTATACTTATTAATAATGGTTTTGGGACCTCACCCACTAGTTCACGATTATCAATTCGGTTCAGCCACCTGACCGAAAAAAATAATTTTATAAAGTGGGTCACCGTCTAGAGGTCAAGGTGGTATCAATGCATATAAATACAGAGACCGAGGCAAGGCAGCCAACCATAAAACGACAGGACACCTTCAGCAATGAAAAGTCGACGCCGGGGTCAATGGAAAAGGTAATGTGAGTCAGTAAACTAAATATAAGTTTTTTTCCTAAATTCGGCCAATGCAAAACCACTTTTTTAACCTTCCGCATATTATTTAGTTTAGAATGTGGCAAGCTTGAAGAGATTATCAGTAATAATTTATATGCTGCCTTAATTTGGCTCAATCTGCTAAACTTCGACACTTTTCGGTGAAGTGATTGATTCGATTTACATAACTTTGTTTGTACCGATATGACTACTTGAAAATAAGGCTAAACTTCTGATTCCAGGTTAAAGCTGTGTATTTGGTAATTTAATAAAATGTCCACGGTTAATGCTATTCCGATTTCGGGGCTTTCGGTACATGTTTTGACTGAAATAGTTTGAATAACAATGGGAATAAATGAGCTTAGGTCAAAAGGCACTTATCGAAACTGCTATACGAGATTTGTACCCCAACCTTCTGACATTGGGAACAGTTGAAATGCTAGCATTTAATTAGATTTAGAACTCACTGTATATTATTAAGCGTTGAAACTTACCTTAGGCAAAGTTTGACTCCTGCGTAACTCCGGAGTCCCTAGGCCAATCAACCGAAGAGCTGGACCGAGTTTCTCTTTGACTATTTTAGGCGCTGGCCTATCTGGTGTTTTGTTGTGCAAATCAAGCACAAAGATAGTCTTCAAAATTGACAATGACACGAGACCCATGGTAAAGAGAAGGTATTTTCCAATGAGTGGAATCATCAGGCCGGTGGGCGGAATGGATTCAGTTAAAAGGAGGAGAAACACTGTCAGTCCAAGAAGGACGTTTATCGACAGTGCGATTTTTCCTCCACTTTGGGAAGGCAAGTAGAAAACCAGAATCGTCAGAAAGGCTATGCCTACACATGGTATGATGAGGTTAATTGTGTAAAAGAGGGTTTTTCTTCTCAGGGCAATTTTAAAAGTCACGTCAATGAAGGGATCTTCGCAGCAGGTGTAGTATTCGGCCCGACGAATAGCTGAGACTTGAAGAAGATCAAACTCCACTGATGGGTAGAAGTCCTTCAGAATGATGGCATAGTCAATGTAGACGTTCCCCTCATGCTCAGGAATGTGTTTCTGTGTGATGTGTTTTAAGCTCACTAGAATAACAATTTGTGTAATTAGAGCAGTTGGTTTTAGACAGGCATCAGTTAGCACGTATCAGCTAATCAATTTTTCATCCTATTATCTCTACCATTGAGGCAGTCAACGATTACCTTGATGTCCATTGTATGTCCACGAACCGAATTTCATTGAACACTCTTGCATGTCATAAGGAAAGTATTGGACGTTTATTGGGCACGAACTTTTGAATATTGCTGGTGGTGTCCATTTGACAGTGCCGTTGTAGAAAACGATTGCCCTCGTCATTATATCGATGACATAGCTTCCGTCGGCGCTATAATACATAGTATTTACCTTTTCAAATAATTCATACATTTACTGCATCCATTTTGCAAGGTCCTTTTCAAGCTCTTTTAGTGATTCAGGTTCTAATTTACACATGCTACGTCTTGCTCAAATAAATCCATAGGTGTTTTTGTTTGTAGTTTAACTAAATAGAAGTAGCCCAAACATATCAAATACGTGGGCTGTACTAATGAAGGATTAGTATAAGGACGAATTCAATCATTACGATTTAATTGTTCAACTGTATTCTAGAAAACAATTACTGTACTCGATAAGAACCGTGTCTGACAATTAGCCAAATCAATATAGGGTAAAGAGGGTAAAACTGGCAACCCTCACTGAACTTGGTCTTACTTATTATATAGGAGCAAATCAGGCAACCAGAGTTGATCGGAAGGTATAAAGAGAGTGGTAACTCCTCCAAAATCTGCAGGTTCCCAGATCAGCTTTGAGTCTGTCCACTCCAGCTCCACCCACACGTTAGTTGTTAGTATTTGGTTTACCTCATCCTAAAAGACAATGAATGAAAGGTTTAAGGGGTTTGTTGGGAAATATGCTGGAGCACGTTCGCACCTCGAACTTAAGTACGCTCTTCAACTTTAAAGGTTTGCCATCTAGATGGTTCATAAAAGCACTTCGTAAAGATCCGTTTTAAAGGTAAATAACCTTTATAGGTCAGGAATATCATGGTAGACAACATACAAAGTCTCAACCGGCGTTTACTTTTACATGAGATAACCACACAAGAGAAAAACCATTTGTTAGCTTTCGTTGTATCTGCTTTAGATGTGCTTTAAAAATGAGGCTACGAGACGCAAAGGCAACTTCGGTGACAATAATGGATTTGAATAACTTTCTAGACTTCCAAAACCTCCTGATCGGCATGAAATGTAGATGCATCTACCATCAGGCAACTTGATCTTGGGGTTTCCCTCTGCCTTGGCGATTTTATTAGTCTGGGGTGTCACACTTTTATCAGCAAACGAGGGGCGTTAGTTTACAGCAGAGTCTGCGAGTACCTGTGTCACAGCTAGATTACCAGGGATGACCCCAAGGGCATTTGGATGAAATTGCCAACTTAAACGCAGGCTTAGTGTACATAAGAAAAATTGACTACTCTGAGATGTCTACCTAAACCACAAGTGGAAAGAGACATTTGGGGTCATTGTTGAAATTAAGCCGAATTAAATCGCCCTAGTAAACGCATTAATAAGAAAAAGTGGCGTTTTACCAAATCCATTAATTGTAAAAGTCCCAACCCGAAATATACTGTTAGTGTATTGTTCGCGTTGGTAACAGGTCGAAGCAATTTATTGTATTGTTGGCGATTCATTAGGACATCATATAGCCGACTAGCCTCTTTGTAACCATGCAGAACTATAAGATCACATAAAATATGGGTTAAGACACAAACCACGAAAGAGCGAAATTTTTAAAACTGCAATTAGAAGTAATAGTTTCATGCTGGAGTATCTCCTTTATCCTAAATTTGCCCTAGACTCCAGCAGTTGCTTTAGCATGCTAACGCGTATTGCGATTGGTGAACTGTTAGCCAATAAAACTCAGTATAGCTTAAGCATTCGGTAGACCGGAAAATAAAAGTAACATTTTAATTTTCTTCTGGGAAATGATTTGTGAACATCTTTGAATTACCGTCCGCTTAAAATACAAGGAATTGTTCCTTCGAGTTACATGCAAACTCCGTAGCACGAATGAAGCAAGCGGTCAAACCAAAATTAAGAATGTCCACAATCACAAATGTGCATTTGAAAGTTGTTATTATGCATGGGAGTCAGTCTTGGCGCTGTCACTGTTGTTGATGCAAGTCGCCGGTGCAGTGGATACCAATGTGTGCATATGCCAACAGACCACTGTACAATTTTACTTTGTTTCTTGTAAAAACTTATTTGGTAGCAAATTAAGTTTGCATAATGGACTGTCCCGTTTTGCCTCCGTAAATTAAAATAATTAGAATCTTTCAAAAAAACCACTTGGGAATCGTCTTATTTCTGCTTATCAACCAGACACCTTCTCTTCCATTCACTCAAATAAGAAACCCGTTCTTGAATATAAATCGATCAGCTGACTGATAGGAGCTCTTGAGGTGAAGCAACTATCCAAGTTTCGTTCTTTGTAAATGTAATGTAAGTAGGACTTCATAATTGGTGGATACAAAGTCACTTTCTAGTTACAACAACTATCTTATAATTTCGTTGCCATAGTGTCATCAAATGTTCAAAAGTCAACTTCTTATTAGCTGAAGCTTTAAGAGACTGCGAATATTTAACATCGTTTCGTGCCATCTTTTCAAACCAAATAATGACCATGGCTGGGATTAGACTGGGTGCAATGATTAAACACACTGAGATCTTGGTGAACTTGTACGAGTAGTGATGTCAATGACAAATCTCCTTCATGATACTGTGGTTGGGCAAAAAATTAACTGACAGCTACTGAGAATTTGACTACATTCATTGAAGTTGTGACTTGATAAGGGACTCTTTTAAATATAAGGTTGCTGCATTTTTGTTTGAATATCTGTACTGTCTTGTGTCTAAGCCACACCTGTTTTAATGGATTCTTCGATCGCTACTTACCTACGAAGATAATGAGTTAGTAACTGATTTTCATCAGCCGCTTACAACTTACCGTGTGATGCATGTCGCTCATCTGGTTAGATAGCAACGACTACTTTGTGTTCAAAACTAACAAATGGGAAGATGGGATTAGCATCTCACGTCAAATTTAAGTTTTTGAAATTCAAAAATTAGACAAATGTGTTGAAGCTTAGAAGTCTTTAGTTGATACTACAAGGCCTGCTTTCCTTAAGCAGTGGATTCGCTAAGCACAAGCAGGGTAGTGGAACAGATGATGGCTTCCGTAAGCATGGAAGACGGCTAAAAATCAGCAAGAGGCCTGATTTTGATACACACATTTCGGTTTGTGGAATTTGTTTTTAATTCGGCGTGGACGCCAATTCAAAATTTGAGATCTCTGTGGAGGGTAAGAAGTGTCTGTGACATTTACGGCAGCATCTTCACTCCTGAACGTCTTTGCCTTCTACATATTATCAAAAGAACTAAAGAAGCGACGGTAATACAGATATTACAGTGCAGCAGGCAAAAGTATTTTCTGTGGATTAGTGTTGAACTCAGAAACTGTAATATCTGGTGTGCTGCACAGATGTTTCGGAGGCACATTACGTTAGTGTTAATATCACCGAGACCCCAAAAACTAAAGCTGCTTGACGCATCTGCAAGCCATGAACAAGACAGGAGGATATTTCTTTCAGATATTTCTGCTTTTGAAGTTTTGTGTGGCAATAAATGGACGAACTAGACTGAATACTCTCTCGTACAGAGAGAATGAAAGGAATGGGAGTTACTGAAGGATTCAATTTTACAAGGAATAATGTGCAAGCAAGTGGTTCGAAAAATAACTTCGTAGATACGTTCAACTTGAAGAATGTTTCACATTCTCATTACCTATACAAATGTTTTGGATATTCCAGGTATAAATAATTAACTTTGATTCTGTTTATTTTTACTAATAAACCAACTTAACAATTTAGAAACCCCTCGAGGATTTCTTTGTATGTTAAAATTAATTTGCAGAGGTAGCTTGCAGTCCTGAAAATGACTTAAACATTGCTAAGGACACAAATAGTCAAATCGAGGTTAAAGTAAAGGGAATTCAGATAAATCCTGCTAAATTGTTTAAAATTAAAACAACCCAGGTGCTAGTTTTTTGCTAAATTTTATCGGCGTAGGAAAAATACATTTTTAACAGCATCACTATTGTTCGGAATTTTGCAGTTGCTCGCTGTAGGAGAATGGACCAATTTTTTTTTCACTGCAGCTAAGAGAGGTAGGAAAGATAGATTGTTTCTTGCAATTTTTAGATGCAAATTTTCAGATGTTTTTTGGCAGGAAAGATGTTAAAAATAAAAAAAGTCTGCATAGAAAATAATCCAGAAAATTAGCAATACTACATAGACATTTTTTATTCTTCTTAAGCTTACTTTTAAAATTGCTACCGTACCACTTGTAAGTTAGCCTTTTTATTTTTACCAAATGGGACTTTGGCGTTTAGAAAGCAAATCTCATAAATCCATAGGTTTTATTAATCTTAAAATTGAATTTTGGACCATACTTTACTCTGGCACTTCACTAACCTCGGAATTGAGACCCTTAATGTCAATAACGAGATTCGAAACCCCACTGAAGCGATCAACTTCCTGTCTATGTCCATTTATTGTGTGACGTTTAATCCGAAGTTCTGGAATTTATGTAGTGT